GGCCCTGCGCTGGTCCCTTGCAACTCACCGGCCTCTGGATGGCTCCCCTTTTTTGGCTGTTCTGGCTTCTAGCTCATGCATGGGTCCACAGGAATTCTATTAGTGGTCTTGCTGACGTGGGGGCCACCAAGGCCCTCTTCTCCCCCGCCACCTCCAAGCAACTCCATCCGAAGGGCACAGCTGTGGCTTCTGCTAGCTCTTGCTCTGTGTGCTCAACAGTTTCAGCCTTAAAGTGGCCGCATCCCAAAACGCTCCAGGCAGTTTTTTCTTTCTCTATTGGTGGCTTCTCCCCCTTCATGAGCTCTGTAGGTCCCTTTTCCTCTTACCCTGAGTTCCAGTGGCCCCAGCTTGGCTGTTGTTATATTTTTATAGTTGTAAATTAGTTGATTTGTGTGCGAGAGAGATGCTTAGGACCATCTATTCCACCATGTTGACCGGAACTCTGACTCTCCTCTTCTTTTAAAGCCCTCAAAACCATGCCCCTGACCACCATTTTTAATCCATTTACTACTGCATGGTTCTACCATGCAATCACCTCTTCAAGGGTCCACCTTTCAATTACCATAATAGGATTTCCCACCCTCTTAACAGTCATAATGGGAGCTCAGTTTCTAATACATAAAAGTTGGGGCACACAGTTCAAGCTCCAGTGAGTTCTGGGGGAACATAATTTATTCTACTGCACTGGATTACTGTTGCTTTGTAGTTATGTTTAAAAATCAAGATATATGACTCCTTCAAATTTGATCTTTTTTTTAAAGGTTGTTTTCGCTGTTGTGGTTCCTTTAATTTCCATTTGAATTTTAGGATCAGTTTACCAATTTCTGTATAAAAGCCAGGTGAAATTTTGTTCAGGATTGAATTGAATCGGTATGTCCATTTGAGGAATGTTGGCATGCAAGAACAGGGGATGTTTTTCTATTTATTTAGGTCTTTAATATGTCAACAATGTTTTGTGGTTTTCAGGGTACATATTTTGTACTTCTTGTTATATCTATTCCTAAGTATTATTTCTGATGGTGTTATAAATATAATCGTTAACTTCATTTTCTGATTACTCATCACGAGTATATAGAAATACAGTTGATTTTTCTATATTCGTCTTTAAAGGGAAAAACCATTTCTCTAATCACAACACTTCTGATACCAAATATATGGTTTTCTACACCAAGCAATTCTCCAATTCTATGAGCACCAGTTGGGTATCTGAACACCAACTAGATATAATGTAATTCAATTCTGACAGTAACTACCCGGAGTTAGCACGGATCCAACAGCTTAAGGACTTAGTTCCACAAGACCGTCCGCAACTTCAGATGACAGACGCAAGTAGTGGGTCCACAGATCACTCACACTCCTGTCTGAGTTGGCTACAAATTGCGGGTTTCTCATGACTCCCTCCTCCAGTTTGACAGTTTGCTGTAATGAACTCAGAGATACCTTTTATTTACTATTACCAGTTTATTATAAAGGATATCATAAAGGGATACAAATGAACAGCCATATAGAAGAGGTACATAGGGTGAGGTCTGGAAGTGTCTTGAATGTGGGAGCTTCTGTCTGTGGAGATGGGGTTCACCACCCTCCAGCACATGGATGGTTGGTTAAGGTTTTTATGGAGGTTTTGTTAGATAGGCATGATTGAGCTAATCATCAATGGCCAATGATTTAATCAATATCTAGCCCTTTTCCCCTCCCCAGATGTGGGCAGAATGGGGCTGAAAGTTCCAATCCTCTAATTATATGGTTGGCTCCTGTGGCAACCAGCCCCGTCCTTTAAAAAGTCTTTTTATTAGTAAAATCTCAGATATAGTTGAAAGGGGCTTATTAGGAATAACAAAAGATGCTCCTCTTACCCCTGTCACTCAAAAATTCCGAGGTTTTTAGGAGCTCTGTGCCAGGATACATGGATGAAGTCCAAAAATGTATTTCCTTTTATGTCATAATATCAAAGTCCTGTATCTTCATTCTTTTCTGAATTATTTTTATTAGTACTAACAGGCTTTTAGTGGATTCCTCAGGATTTTCTATATGTACTATCATACCATAGGATTTTCTAGATATGTGATCATGTCATCTGTGAATATAGTTTTTTATCACGATATTTTTAATTCAAAATACAAACGTGCAAAATAAAATTTCTCCTGGGTTATTAGGATACATTTATTCTTCTTATCTTTGGTGTGTTGGAAGTAGCAAGACCATTTGTTTTCATTGTGCCATTTTCCTGTATAGAAACCTTCAGTGGCTCCCCAAGACTTTTGTGGCAGAATAATTCTTTATGGCAAAATAATTCACCAGTCCAAGTTTCTGAACTGGTGTCCAGAGTACTATGTAATACATTGTCAAAACAGTCTGGAATGGTTAACTTAGCCTGGGAGCTCAGTTAGGAGTCCTGGCTTCTCATCAGCTGTACATGAGCAAATTTAGAAGTGTTCCTTAACTTGTAAAATAGAATTGGATTTTTAATTTTTTGAGTATGGGGTTTCTTTAGTTCTTTGAACATATTTATAATAGCTGCTTTAGTGTCTTCTAAGTCTGACATCTGGGCCCTTTCAAGGACAGTTTCTCCTGCCTGATTTTTTTTTCCCCCTTGAATGTGTCATACTTTCCTGTTTATTTGCATGCCTCATAATTTTGTGTTGTAAACTGGACATTTTAGATAGTATTTTGTATAAACTCTGAATAGTGATCTCCCCTCTGCTCTTCCACAGTTTCTTTTTTGTTGTGTGTAGTTCACTTGTTTGTGTAGTGACTTGGCTGGGCTATTTCACTGAGTTTTATTTCTTCCACACAGTGCACTCCTCAGAGGACACACACACAGTCACCCTGAACTGCCCTCCTTAAGGGATGAGAGTGGTTTTAGCAGAGCTCTCCTTCAACTTTTCCTTTCTTTAATCTTGTTAAACTTCTGCCTGTTCTGTCTCTGTTGGTATGATACCTAGCAGTTGTTCTTCACTAGCTTTAGCTGATTGCTTTATTGTTTAAACAAAGCTCTGGGCCATACATTGCTTCACAGTGTGATTGGATTAAATTATACCCCTTTTATAGGGGTTGTGTTTAAAGTCAGTCTTTGAGGCTTTTCATGAATCTAGGAGGGTTCTTAGGTGTCACTTGCCCAGATTCTCTGTTAAACTTCTACTTGGTTTACTTTTTTTTTGGTGGCTGGCCAGTATGGAGATCCAAACCCTTGATCTTAGCGTTACGAGGCTGTGCTCTAACCAGCTGAGCTAACCAGCCAGCTGGTATACTCTTTCACTTGTTGCTATCAGGGAGCTACCAGTCTTACATTAATTACTTCTCACCAAAGTCTTCATAGTTTTTGACAGTGCCATTAGTGAGAACTTCTCCATTCCCTGTTCCAAATAAAGTCAGTCTTAGAAATTGCTGCTTCTCTGGCCTGTGCAGAACCCCTGTGCCATTGCTCTGGAGCTGAGGGCAGGGAGAGTGGCTTGATTTTCTTCGAGTTACATCTCTGCTCTGTGAGTGGTGTGTTAGGCCATGGTTGGGCCATTGGTCTTCTTGGTTTGGATCTTCTCTGCCTGCATGGAACCTCTGCCTTACAAGAGCTGAGGCAAGGATAATCTGTGCCCAGTATTATTGGCCTGCTGTGCCTGGAGTAGAGCTTCTGCCCTTTGAGTGGGGACTGGATGAAAGAAGGCACTCTTCTGCTCTCTTTGCCACACTTGCCTAGAATAGAATTTCAGCAACATGAAGCTAGGGGTTAGGAAATGAAAAATGCTGGCCACCTGCCCCTTCTGGGCAGACATCATAGCACTGGATTTGGACCTGGGCAGGGTAACTAGTTAGTAGTTTGTTTCAGTTTTGTTTCTTTAGGAATTATTATTATTACTCACCTACCACACAATGACTCTTTTCTCTGCCTGGAGTGCTCTTCTCCCAGGTAGGCACGTGACACGTACTCTCTTTCTTCTGTATGAGCCTCTGTCCAGATATCCCTTGACAGAGAGGCTCTCCTTGACTACTCATATAATAGAGCACTGCTCCAGTTTAGCCCCAGTCACTTTTGTATTTCCTTTACCTGGGTTTATTTTAACTCATTGCATTTATCACCACCTGGCATCCATGCATTCATACGTACATACATATGTATTTGCGTGTCTACCTCTCCCCATGAATGTATAGGTTCCATAGAGCAGGGACTTAGGCTGTTTTGCTCACTGTTATATTCCCAGTACTTAGAACATTATCTAACACAGTGAATTTTCAGTAAACTGATAAATGCTAAGTACAGACCAAACCGAAGTTTACTGTATTCTTCACAATTTAACCTGTCTAAATTGAAAAATATCTACTGGGCTGGCCCCGTGGCTCACTCTGTAGAGTGTGGCACTGATAGCGCTGAGGCTGCGGGTTCGGATCCTATATAGGGATGGCCGGTGCGCTCACTGGCTGAGCTTGGTGCAGACAACACCGAGGCAGGGGTTACGATCCCCTTACCGGTCAAAACAAACAAACAAAAAAATCTACTACCATTTGGAAAATGGAATTTTATGTGTTTGCCAACTCTAATCGCTAGTTGCTGCCTAGAGTGAGAATGGGGCTCACTGGGAAAGAATGAAATGATTATTTGACAATGGCTGCTAGGGCAATGAGAGAGGAGAATGTGGCATTTATGCAAAGTACTTGCCACCTCTAATGTATTGAGATGCTAAGAACAGGAAATGGGTAAATTTTTGGTCTCCTCTTTTTCTTTTTCTCTTCTGGCTTGCTTCCTCCTTACTGCTGGAATATGTTTATGGATAGTTGGGGTTAGTAGAAAGGCCACCTGTTTACAATATGATGTGGAAACTTTCTATATAATTCCATTATTAATAGAGGTACAAATGGGTCTCTTAGAAATGTCAGGACATTGCAGGGGGCCAGTATATTACTAGTTGATTGGAAGAAGAATCTTCATTTGCCTATCTAATATGAAGATTTTTTCTCTAAAGTTATTTTAAAATGATTTTGACTAATGTCTTTCTTTTTTTTTCTAGATTCTTGCTGAAATCTGTTAATTCTACTTTTTGAGCACTTATGAATAACCACATATCTTCAAAACCATCAACCATGAAGCTAAAACAGACCATCAACCCCATTCTTTTATATTTCATACATTTTATAATATCACTCTATACTATTTTAACATACATTCCATTTTATTTTTTGTCTGATTCAAGACAAGAAAAGTCAAACCAAATTAAAGCAAAGCCTGTAAATTCAAAACCTGAGTCTGCATACAGATCTGTTAATAGTTTGGATGGTTTGGCTTCAGTATTATATCCTGGATGTGATACACTAGATAAAATTTTTATGTATGCAAAAAACAAATTTAAGGACAAAAGACTCTTGGGAACACGTGAAATTTTAAATGAGGAAGATGAAGTACAACCAAATGGAAAAATTTTTAAGAAGGTAAGGTGATTTTCATTGCCATTGATTTCCCTCTGAATAAAATGTACTCTTAGAAAAGGTTGGCAAGGGGCAAAGCTCATCTTAATTCTATTGGAATTTGCAGATGTTGCAGGAAAAACAGTATAGGAAAGGAACTAGACTGTGTTCTAATCTCTTTCTGTACTCACCAGCACTGATTTAGTTCTGAATTTTCAGAAAGACATTGAGGACTGGTCTAGAACTCTTCTGAAACTGGATGTCTACCAGGGCTTGGAATAGAACGTCTAGGGCAGTTTGGGGTATGAAATCATATTCCCTGGTTTCCAGAAGAACCTGGGTGCTTGATATGGCTCCAGGTTTGGGGGTGTGACTTATTTCTGATTTTAACACGGGTCGCGGTGGATGCTTACTGTCTTAGTTCTTTGGTTGTGGTAGTTGTATGGTTTAAAAAAAAAATCTTCACAAACATAGAGGAATCTGTCATTGTTGATTTGAAACAGAAGACAAGATGTTCTTAGAGGCGGTTGTAACATAGTAGATAAGAGTGGACTCCAGACCCAGACCATAGGTTTGAATCTTGGCTTTGACACTGGCTTTGTGACCTTGGAAAAATTGTTTAACAAGTTTACCTCAGTTTCTTTATCTCTGATATGGAAATAATGATTGTTGCTGACATGTATTTCTTATGAGTCACGCTGTTTTAAGATCTTTACATATATCACCTTATTTAAGATTTACAGTAATGTTATGAGTTAGTATTATCTCTGCTTTGCAAATGATAGCATTGAGGTGTAGATAGGTTAGGTATCTTTTCCAAGGATACTGCAGCTAGCAAGTGGTGAAGCTGGGACCAGAACACAGGCCTTCTTCTGGCTCCAGAACTCATACCTCTTAACTAATCACAGCTCTCAGGTGTGTGTGTGTATGGACAGACATGCATATGCTCAGTTAATCATCACAAGACATACACACGCACACACGTGTAATGTGCTTAGAACAGTTTGTGGCACCTAATGTAAATGCTATAGCTTTTATTTTTATGTTACTATTATCTTGGGAATTCAATGGGGATAGTTATATTAGTGAGTACAGAGGCTTACATCATGGACTAGTATAGCATTGTAAAGGATAGTAAGTATAGAAATGACATGAACATGCTATTTATGAACTTGGATGCATGACTTTCTTTTAAGCAATTCTTGAAGTTCTGTTAGGTAAAAATTGAAGATACAGTATTTTTTTAGAGGCAGTACAGTGATCTGTAGTTGGTTGATAATTTGGTTAGGTTATAGGTATAATACCTTCATAGGCAAAGCTGTTTTCCTCATCCAATTCCAGCTACATCCTGACCCCCAGCTACCTTTTCTTATATTAGTCATGAGGGAACTGTCAGATCTTGGATCACAGCTATGGAATGAAAAACTCAGAGCTCCTCCTCTTACTGGAGGGCCAGGGAGATGTTGCTTAATCTCTTTAATGGTCCATTAATTTTAACACTTACCATACAAATTCCATACATCATTTCCTCTAAACATAAAGGGGTTAGCAAACAAGTTGATGTCAGTAATTCCTAGAAACTAAAAACATTTTAATTCGACAACAGAATCTGTAAATTTTCTCACCTTTAAATAGAGTGACCTTATATCTTGTTTTGCCTAGAACAGTCCTGATTTTTACCTGTTGTTCTGTTATTAATAGTGCCCCCTTTCAGTCTCAGAAGTGTCCTACTTTGAATAAAGTTATATGATCACCCTACTTTTTAATGCATATTCTTATTTCTTTTGTTGACTTAGAAAAAAAGTGAATTTTTTTTTTTTTTACTTAAGATCTAGCTTCAATTAATAGCACGTTTCTAGAAATTAAAGCCACGTAGTTGGATTACTTTTCTCTGGCCTAGAGATTATAATTTACAAAATATTTTGTCATCGTGAAGTTTGCTTTTGTCATGTTTAGTTGCTGCTTTTTATGGTATATGATTCTTGAGTCTGTCTCTAAGAGATCTGGGGTGTGTGTGGGGTGTGTGTGTACATATGTACAGATACTCTCTGACATGGAAACTTGTTATATTTTTCTTTTCTGAATTTAGGTTCTTTCAGAAAGTAGCATTAATTTTAGGTTTTGTGTATAACAAATGAAGCAAGTATTTTCTGTTGGCCTTACTAAAGAAGTAAGTGTGCAATACCTCTGGTTAGTTAAGACTTCAGTTTCTTTTTTTTTTTTTTTTTTTTTTTTTTGTCTTTTGTCTTTTTTCCGTGTCCGGCAACGGATCGCAACCCTCAGTGTTGCCCCCGTACTGGACCGGGGACCGGCAACGGGATCGCAACCCTCGGTGTTGCTCCCACGCCTCGCTCAGCCAGTGAGCAGGAACCGGTCTGTATGTGGGATCCGAACCCTCGGGCGGGAGCGCCGCCGCGCTTCCCAAGCGGCGCACCATCCAGTGCGCCACCGGGCCGGCCCAAGACTTCAGTTTCTGTTGGTCTTGTGTTGCGACTGTAGCAGTGATCTGCAAACTGGAGAGTGGGTATCAGTTGCATATTAAACAAACTAGGCTCTTCATCTTTTTATTTTTTCCTCTTGGTTTCTTATTACACCTATTGTATTGCTGTAGTAGTAGCATTTGCCATGATTGAATATTGAAAAGGGGGTTTTCTGCCCTTAGTGCCTACTAACTGTGGAACCCAGGAGGGAGGTCAGAAGACATTTTTAATGAAGTAAATCTTCATTAAATAGTTTTGTATATGAAGATAATTTTCAGTTGGAAAAGAAAGCTAATGATGAAGTAATATCTAAAAGTTTTTACCTGTTTTGGGAAGCAGACTTTTGGGGATTAACTTCAGAATGTATCTGATGGGGTTGAAGGCAAAGATACACAAACCTTATTTCAAATTAATGAGCTTTGAAGCTTTCTTTCCATTTTATCTAATAGTCTGTTTTGAGCTCCCAAGTGGTGTTAAGGGGAAGGAAAGGCAGTGGTGATGATTCTGCTCTAATTCTACTCAAGATAGAGTGGCTACCAGCTTCACCAAGATGGGGTTGCCTGGGGTGCACAGACAGAGAAACAAAGAGCACCCAGTAGAGGCTGCTGTGTTCTTTTGGTTTGGCAAGCTTTTTCTGGACCTACTGTCTCATCTTTTTAAATTTCATACGGTTTTGTAAAACTGGAGCAGAGTTAAGGCCTGGCATATGTGTCAATAACACCTAATCCCAGCCTTCCCAGCAGCAAATGCATTGCACTAATGTTGTCTTCAATGAAGAACGGTGAAATGACTGGATTTCAGAACAACTTAAAAATATATGGGTAGCTGAAATGGAACAAAGTTGCAAAGAATAAAAATAACAAATAGAAAAGAGCACAAGGCTGGTTTAAATATTTTGTGAGCTATCAGAAACACTTTTAGTTTTTTTTCTTTACGCTTGGGTAGCTGAAATGGAACAAAGTTGCAAAGAATAAAAATAACAAATAGAAAAGAGTACAAGGCTGGTTTAAATATTTTGTGAGCTATCAGAAACACCACAAGGCTGGTTTAAATATTTTGTGAGCTATCAGAAACACTTTTAGTTTTTTTTCTTTACGCACATTAGAGAGAAGAGAATAAAAGAAATTATGGAATCATAGTGCTTAGAGAAGATTTCACTATGCGATTCCTTCCAAATTTATCCAAAAAGATAATAGAAATACTTATTTCTGTCCTTGTAAGTTGATCTAGCTTTCTTCTCTTTCTTATGTCTACTTTTATGTTATTTCTTACTTCACAGTCACATTTTTTACCCTGATTGCATGTGTGTATGATACTTATTTTCTGACTTACTAGGATATTTACATCATGATTTATATGAAAAGTAACGTTTGTTCTGTTGGCCAGGATTTGAGGTTTGATTATTATATTACTCTGCTCTTGGTTTTTCCATCCCAGTTTGTTCCTCTACCTGTTATCCTGTTTATTAATGGCACTACCATGTACCACACTGCTCAAGCTAAAAACCAGGAGTCTGATTTATTTCCCTTACAGCCACCCCCCACCTGCATCCCTTTTTTACAGGTCTTTCTGCTTCCACTCTTGCTTCCTGCTATAATCCACTCACACAGAGCAGTTAAAATGATCTTTTACAGTTGTTAATCAGGCCACCTTACTCACCTGTTTAATAAGATCCTGGCTGCTTTTTATGGTGCAGTTAAAGAATTGTGCTTTGGTCCTGGAATGAGTTGGCCTGGGTTCATAGCCTAGCCTATCACTTATTAGTTGTGTGATTTTTGAGTAAGTTATCTCCATGCCTCAGTATTCTCATCTGTAAAATAGGGATAATAATATTAACAGTCTCTTAGAGTTATTGTGAGAGTTTAATGAATTAATACTTGCAACTTATTTAGCACATAGTAAGCTCTAGTAAGGATTAGCTGCGCTCACCATCATCATCATCATCATTGTTGTTGTCCTCATCTCATGGTTATTACAGCCATCCAGATCTCTTGAATATTTTCACCCTTTTTGTCTCCCTCACAATAATTTGTTCATGATGGTTTTCATTTGCAGAGAGAAAGGTTAAATGAAGCCAGGTATACTTTGTTGAAGAAGACAGGGAAGTGTATAATTTTGAAATATTTAAATTCCAAATAGTGAAAGTAAAAAAAGTCCTAGTGCTTAAAGGGTTTTTTGTATGAGACAGGACAAATTGGAGAAGGGAATTGGAGAAGGGAGGGTGGAGGATATTTGAGTAGAAAGGAGGTTTCAAAGCTATTTCAGAGGATGAGAGAATGAATATACCAGGAAAGTATAATAGGATTGCAGGGTGGTGAGATTTACGGTCCTGGATTTATGGGTGTTTTTCTGCAGCAGTGTTCAACAGCATAGGCAAGGAAGAAATAAATGAGTTAATTTTGGGTTGGGTTAAGCAAAGTGACAAAGTTAGAAATTGAGCTCCAGCACAAATTAGATAATATTAAATTATGAGGTAGACAGTTCTTCTAAATGCAATTTTTATGAGAAAGATAATTACTAGAATATTCAGTGGTTTAAATAATTAAAGTAATGAAATTCAGATTTTGGTTTATATTTTGTTTTTTGTAGGTGAGGAAACCTCTTGAATTAAACTCATGATTTGATTTCTTTGTCACATGGTAGTGTGATCACATAAGTTTATATACTTGAATTATATACCTAATGCCTTTCCAAAACACAAATATTCTTTGAAATTTATAAAACCTATCGTTTAGATTCTGGAATATAGAAGGTAGCTCATTCTTATCTTCAGAATGCAAAATTCTTAATATTTTTAATCCAGTTCCTGCATGTTTTGGCCAAATTCTTGTCTTCTCACCCCCACACAGCTCCTTTTGAGTCTCTGGAGCTCCCCATGCTGAGCATTTCATGGGGGTGCAGAGCAAGGTGAGAGTTTGGGACCACTAAAGTTAAATAAGTATCATATAAATACAGTTGCCTTATTCATCAAAATAAAAATTTATCTCTTAAATCCATCGTTGAATAGGACACTAGAGGGCAGCATTTATCTTTTTCAAATTTTTATCTTCATTCAATCTCTTATTTCTAAAAATCTCTTAAATATTTGCATTTTAAAAGTTAGTATGGTCTGATGGTTTTAAGATGTTTGAGAGACAGCCGTATTTGAGAGTTACCTGTATATTTTTGTAGAGAGAAGAGCTTTATACAATCTATATGTAATAAGGGATTTATGTTCTCATCTAAATTGAAGAAAATCCCTAAAGACAAAAATATGTTAAGCAGCTTTAAAAGGGGGTTATTAGGAACACAAACTTGATGTTGCCTGCACTTCTGATAAACATGAATAAAATGTGTAAACTTGGGGGTGACAGCATGTAAGGCTTAAACAAAAGGGACTTTGAATAACATAAACCTGGTTGCGTAAATAGAGACTTGTTTACTTTGCTTATCCAGAATTAGATACAGCAATTGCAATTGAACAGCCGTAAATATTTCTGTTAACTTGGGTAGGGTCAGTTTCTGTTTATGGATCATATTGTACTATCTGATACTGAAATCCAGGAATTCATAAGTAGAGGGCAAGTAAAATTTTGGCATCAGTAGTACTTGGTAGTAGGATAAATTTTAAATTAACACCGAAATAATTGAAGTAAATGAAATCTGTAAGTGAATTATTAGTATATGGTCATTTGGCTGGGAATTTGACTGTTAAGATCCCATCAAACTGAATATTTTTGAAAATCAAAAATGAAGCCAAAACTAGTTATAGTTAAAGATTTAGCATTAGGTTTGAATTGTCATAGAGAATATCACAAAATAGCTAATTTTTAAGATAGATTTTTCACTTAAAACTCAATTTCTAGCTTTTTATTAAAAAAAAGTAGTTTCTGGTTTGTTATGAGATTTGGGTCATATTCTCGTTTCTGTTAATTAATTTTGGTTATATTAAAAGCTATTTGTATTTTTTTATCAGGTTATTCTTGGACACTATAATTGGCTCTCCTTTGAAGATGTCTTTGTTCGCGCCTTTAATTTTGGAAATGGCTTACAGATGTTGGGTCAGAGACCAAAGACCAATATTGCCATCTTCTGTGAGACCAGGGCTGAGTGGATGATTGCTGCACAGGCGTGTTTTATGTATAATTTTCAGCGTACGTAGGCTTTCTTATCTTCTAGAAGAGTGGACTTAGTTTTTGTTGGAGAGATGATACTAACCTTTTATTATTTATTATTCACTCTTAGGAGATTAAAATTCTGATGTTAGTTTTTACTTTGCATCCAATTAGTAGAGAACTCTTTGTTGCAACTTGGAATTTTTGCTCAATTTTGGAAAAGGAGCCATCCAGTCGTGGAACAAATTGTACCAGTCATTACAGCTAGGATACTTGAACCTATTTATAGGGTACTTTCTAGGTCTGCAGAACTAGAGTCTTTGCTGTGGTAACATCTCTTAGGAATCTTCTGTTGAAGTTATTGTCATTTTATTATGTTACTTCTACCAGCAACAGTTGACCTTTAAAGAGTTGACATGTTCATACTCAAACCTATTGAATTTCAAGGTGCTAGGTTAAATGATAGAGAATTTTTTTTTTTGTCTTTTGTCTTTTTCCGTGTCCGGCAACGGATCGCAACCCTCAGTGATGCCCCTGTACCGGACCGGGGACCGGCAACGGGATCGCAACCCTCGGTGTTGCTCCCACGCCTCGCTCAGCCAGTGAGCGGGAACCGGTCTGTATGTGGGATCCGAACCCTCGGGCGGGAGCGCCACCGCGCTTCCCAAGCGGCGCACTATCCAGTGCGCCACCGGGCCAGCCCAAATGATAGAGAATTTTAATGTTGTAATTATTTGAATGGTAATCATGATGATTCAGTCTATGAGATACTCCTGGAAGCTTAGTCCAGAGTCTTCATGCCAAAATGTGATGGTGACTGTGGATGTTATCTCATCTTTCACATGAAACAGTAAATATACTTTTACTAGATTTCTTACTGTAAATGTTTCTACTTTTTCTTTTAAACAGCATACCGTCTTTGTTTTCACAGGTTTGGGTTTATTTACATTATGTTTCTCTTGAGAAGCTTTAAAAGAATTATTGTCATTTTCAAAGTCATTTTATGTCCAACTTTTTAAAGATAGGTAGAAAGTAAATAAAAATCCACATTATTATTATTATTAACATGCAATGTCAACATTTCTAGGAATTTTTTTTTTTTTTTTAGATTTTTCTGCTTTAGAATAAACAATACTGCCACTTATTCATGCTGTTATCTTGACACATAGTACCTTAAATCTGTCATCTTACTGGTATATTTTCTTTTTCACATTTTAGTACCAAATAGTCAATAGTTAACATTTTGAAATTTTCGAAATCAGTTATATTTTCTTCCCATTGTAATAGTCCTAGAGTAACATCTGTAGGTGAAACAAAATAACATTTAAAATACCTTCATCTTAAAGTTCTGGAAATTTGGGGGAAATTAGGAGAGGGTGAGTAGGTATAATGCTAATTAGTATGTTAAAATAGTTTTTAAAAACACAACATTGTTTCTCATAGACTATGAATTTAACAAGTTAGGGTTCAGAATGCTCCCTTATGATTCATGTCCACTTTCAGAGTTTTTATGTACATTTTTTAGTTCATGAAATGTTCCAGTGCTTTACTTGCTCTTCTTTTCCTTGTAGTTGTTACATTATATGCCACTCTAGGAGGTCCAGCAATTGTTCATGGATTAAATGAAACAGAGGTGACCAACATCATTACTAGTAAAGAACTTCTGCATACAAAGTTGAAGGTAAGGACTGCAGTTACTTTATAACTGTTTGATACTGTAGAATTTTTGTGTCACGAGCCCTATTATTGATACTTATTAGTTCTTTTATTATCTTTTAAGTTCTTAATATCTTTGTAAGCTTTTAGGAATATCAGACTTTATTCCTTTCCTTCAGAAATTAAAAAGTGTATTTCATATATAATTTACATATAAGTAGTCCAGAGTTACAAATTGTTAACATGCCTATGTCTAAATTGAAGGAATTACAACTACTTTTTCTTTTATTGTGTTCATCTATTTTCTAGTCTACTTTTAATAAATTTGTAATTTTAAAGGGTCATATTTTAAACTAGTAATTCCTTTAGTTTCTGAAGCATTGAGTATGAGGTTTCAGAATTTTTTAAAAGTTAAAAAAGAAAACTTTTTATGGAATTACATGAAAAAGAAGTTTCTTTAATCTCTAGACAACTCCCTGTGAAAACAAATATCTGGGCTGTTCTGGGCAACATATTACTTTAACAATTCACTGAATATGGTAATCTTATGTTCTGAATGAATAATGAAGAACATGATGAATATTTGTGTTTTTCCAGGATATAGTTTCTTTGGTCCCACGCCTGCGGCACATCATCACTGTTGATGGGAAGCCACCAACCTGGTCTGAATTCCCCAAGGGCGTCATTGTGCATACCATGGCTGCAGTGCAGGCTCTGGGAGCAAAGGCCAGTGTAGGTATGTTGCATTTTCCTAATTTCTTGTATGTGCTCTCCACTGACCATGCTTTCCAGAATTATTCCAAAGATTTCTTCCTGAAGTTATATCAAGTGACATAATCAGGTTTCTAGACCATCACTTGGGGAAGTAGGTCTCTCTAGGTATATTTTCATCTTGCCTTTAAAGAAAGATTTAAGGAAAAATGTCACCTCTCCCCCAGGGTGATGGAGATGAAGACACAAAGGATTACTCAGAGCCCATTTCTCCAGAGCAGTGAGAGGCTCAGAATGGGTTAATTCCAGGAGACGGCTTCTTCAAGAGAGAAGCATTCCTTGGGAAAAATAACCCCAGACTAGGTTTTCTCTCGATTTTTATTGTCCAGCCAAGAAAGTTACAGAAAAGAACACACATGGTTAATCAACCATAGTAAAAACATAAACAAACTGACTACATAACAATTTTCATTAAAGCAAGTGCAACTTAAAAATAGTTTAAGCAATTTGCCATCAAAGGAGTCATAAAACTAAGGTATGTGACAAACAAAAGAACCAATGAGGTAATCATTATGGCAACACTTAGTTCCCTAGGAAACTTAGAGAAGCAGTTGAAGGTGAAATGTGGAACCAATGCTAATTGGCAGAGTAGCCTTGAAGCTTTTAACATAGTACTTTTCCCATCATTAGGTTTAGCTGCACCAAGGGCATCTGCCCTTAGACCAAGCACTTTTGCTGTGTTACAGTTTTCATATCCACACCAGAGACTTTTTAGTCCTGTGAAAGTTTTCTGTTTTTTCCCAGGCTTGGCATTTCTTATGTGCAATACTAAAAGGTTAGGTTATTCCTCAAACTACAAGGCTTTGGCCTCGAAGGGCATCTGCCCTTAGACCAAGCACTTTTGCTGTGTTACAGTTTTCATATCCACACCAGAGACTTTTTAGTCCTGTGAATGTTTTCTGTTTTTTCCCAGGCTTAGCATTTCTTATGTGCAATACTAAAAGGTTAGGTTATTCCTCAAACTACAAGGCTTTGGCCTTGCTAAAACTAAGGACTGTAGTCCTTCTATGCTACAGCCTAAACTAAAGGGCTTTAGCCCTTCTAACAGCTAAGAACTGTTGTCCTACTAAGATAAAAATCCTACTAAGCTACAGCCTAATCTAAGGACTGTGGTCCTTCTAATCTTAGGGCTGTGGCCCTACTAGGCTAAAGGTTAAGGCCCTCTGAAATACATGTGCTTTATTATTGTTAGTACCCTCCACAGAAAAATACAATTTATAATTGTTCTAAAAGTAGTAGTATTTATGTGAAATTAATTTAAAATACATTTTCTTGTACATTATCCAGTTTTCCTGTTTTTTTTAATTTTTCCCTGGTAGTTTTGGATGGTTTATAGTTTTATAAATAATGCCTCCAAACTTATCCTATGTGAATTACCTATAAGTATTAACAGAAAGGCTAAACTTAGAACCCTTCTTTTACTCTGTGCTCCAGTTCTACTCTTTCTGCTCCAGTTCTACTCTTTCCAAATGGGGCAACTTTATCCTCCAACTAGCACTCCTAGGCATGGTGATTGTAGAAATGCCTATTCTCAAATAAGTGTCAGACAATGTTGGAGAGTATACTAGTTTTACAGATGCTGCTGGGATGCTGCAACTATTTCCTCTGTAGTTGGAAATTTAGTGATTAATTAGATATAAGTATTTGCTCAGCTCAGGGACCAGGTTATACTGATGTTAATTTGGGGCATGTTGAATTTTAGGTGCTGGTGAGACATTCAAATGTAGATTTCCAGTGGGCAATGTCAAATACAGGTCTAGTACTCTTGGAGTTAAGTTTGGAGATTTGGAACCGGGAAGCAGTTGGATATTAATTATAGCTGTGAGAAAAGATGATGTCACCCACAGAGAATGGTGGCCCCAAAGGCTACTGAGGACTAGTCAGAGCAGAAAGAAGAAAACAAATAGTGTGTGGTTCATGGACGCCAAGAGAAGGGAGATCTCAGTGAGTCATCAGCAGGACCAGGTGCATGGAGAGGTCAGATGACACGGGGATTGCAAACGGTCCATCAGACATAGCCAATGTCATTTTAGAGAGGACAGTTTCCAAAAAGTGGTGGTGGTGGAGAATGGTGATGTGGCTTGAAGGAATGAATGGCAGATTCAGAAATAGACTTGAATGAAAACAGTTTTCAATAAATGTATCTGGATGGGTAGGAGAGAAAGAATATTTTCTTGGGAATATGTTTAAAGAATGTTTTCACACTTCACTTAGAAGTCCGCGTGTAGGGTAGTTCTGAGATTAATGCAGGCAGATGAGCAGTGTCATCCATGACCCATTTCTCTGTGTCTTTCTGCTGTGCCACCTCTACAGCATGTTGGCTTGTGGTCTGTGATTGCACATAGGTGACATTGTCTTTTAATCCAGGACTCTCAGTTTGACCTAGATAACTTCACCACGGTGAAGCAGAGAACTTCTTTTTGCAAATATCTAGGTACCCTAGTCCAAGTCACCCTTATTTCTTAGTTGAATTACTGGGATAGCCTTTTGTCTCCCTCATTCCTTTCTTACCATTCTGAAGTTAGGTAGCCACACAGCAACCAAAGTGATCCTTGTCACAGATGATGACATGTTCCTGTTCAAAACAACATTGCTTTCCATCTCAGAGTGAAGTCCAAAGTCTTTAGCATGGCCTTTAAGGTTCTATGTGTGGCCCTAGATGCCACTTCACCATTGTTTCCTGTAAATCTTGCTCTCGCTCACTCCATTCCAGCCGCACTCCTTGCTAGTCTTTACATATGCCAAGCATGTTCCTACCTTAGGGTTTTTGCACTTGCTCATTTTCTTCTACTTGGAACCCTTTTCTCAATTCGAGAGTCTTCATGGCTCCCTTCCTCATTTTATTCAGGTCTTCACTAAAATAACTCTACAGAGAGGCTTTCTCTGACTTTTCCATCTAAATAGCATCTACTATCATTTTCTCACCTTATTTTGCTTTATTTTTCTTCATAGCTGTTATTATCTGTTTGTCCCAATAGAATGAATGTCCCTTACGTGCAGGGACTTGATCTGTTTTGTTCACCTCTGTGTGAGTATAATTAATTTTTGTTGAATTTTGTTAATGAATAAATGATTATTAAAAACGTGGTGATATGGCTGAATTTCTCAGAAGTGTGTGTTTGTTTTTTCTCCAATACAGAAAACCAGCCTCATAGCAAACCGTTGCCCTCAGATATTGCAGTAATCATGTATACAAGTGGATCAACAGGACTTCCAAAGGGAGTTATGATCTCACACAGTAACATTATTGCTGGTATAACTGGGATGGCAGAAAGGATTCCGGGACTGGGGTATGTTATAGTAAAATAACATTGAGTAGTTCAGTATTTATATCAGTTATAACATAAACATTTGGGTCATTTTAGTGGTGTATGTTTAATTTACTCCTTCAAAGTCTGTTTGTAATAGGTATTTCCTTTAAAAAAGGGACATCAAAATTAATTGCAAAATAGTTATAGTTGTGATGTTTAAAATATAGTTTATAGATACTTACTTTTTGAAGAGTTCAGACTTTAGCTGTCATAGTTATAAGCCCCTTAATTTATATTATTTTAATCAGTTGGTATTGCTGCCTCTATAGTTATTTTTATATCTAAATACAATTCAGGTGAACAGATAACTTAATCTATCCAGTAAATATTTATTGATCTTCTGTATTCATAGTCTTTGATTTTTCTTTTTAAGATAAACTCCAGTGGTAGCAGGGGAAGGTATAGTGGAGTGGGAAAAAGACTGATGGAAGAAACCAGGTGGAGGTTTGAGGAACTGTAAAGGAGACAGTCCCAGAGATGTTATCAGTATTCTGTTGACTGATCTGGTGCAGCGGTTGGATATTTTTGATGCCTTTATGCACAGAAATTACACATGCGGCTACTGTGAGATTGAATTTGGGGATGGAGAGAGGAATTTCTCTTACGTATGCATATATTTCAGAAAAACATTTGAGTTTTTTGTTTTTTTTTTTTCCTTTTTGTCTCTTTTTTTGTGACCGGCAACGGTTCGCAACCCTCAGTGTCGCACCCGTACTGGACCGGGACCGGCAACGGGATCGCAACCCTCGGTGTTGCCCCCGCACCTCGCTCAGCCAGTGAGCGGCCGGTCTGTATGTGGGATCCGAACCCTCGGCGGGAGCGCCGCTGCGCTTCCCAAGCGGCGCACTGTAGCAGTGCACCACCGGGCCGGCCCAACATTTGAGTTTTTCTGAAATATAGTTTCCTTGTAGGTTTGCCTCAGTTGCCTTCCATATTTTGGGGGTGTGGGTAGTTTTTGAAATATATACACGCATATACATACATATTTTCTTATGTATTAAGATATAATTTATTATTTGACCCAACTCCAAGAACAGGAATCCCTTATGTAAAATTTCTGGCAGACAGTTGTGTCTTCTGGTTGACAGCCCACTAGCTCCAAAGACCATTTCCTACTTGAATGGTTTCTTGTGTCCTTCAAATGAACCTTTAATTCCCCCCCCCTCAAAGTTATTTCTTCTGCCTTTACTTCTGCAGCACTCATAATGAGTGAGTGTCTTCAAGTAGGACTGGAAACAGAACTGCTTCCTGAGAGTTGTCTACCTCCTCAATTTTAGGTTGAGCTATTGTTCTCTTCACCAGTGTCTGTCTTGTCTCTCCCTCACATACATACTCCACCAGCATATTGATGTCCATGTGCCTTTGCACCTCACTTTTGCTTCTTATTTCTCTCTTCTTTTAGAGAGGAAGATGTGTACATTGGGTATTTGCCTTTGGCCCATGTTCTAGAATTAAGTGCTGAGCTTGTTTGTCTTTCTCATGGATGCCGAATTGGCTACTCTTCACCACAGACTTTAGCAGATCAGGTAAATTAAATGTCTGTTACTTGAAATACTAAAAAAATCATAATTATTTTTAAAACACTATTTTCTGACAGTATATTCTAAGGATGACGGTTCATCATTTTAAAATAAGCTCTTGCCTTTTAAGAATTATAATATGCTTTTTGATCTATGAATTTTTAAAATAAAGATCACTTGGGCCGAGCCCGTGGCGCACTCGGGAGAGTGCGGCGCTGGGAGCGCAGCAGCGCTCCCGTGCGGGTTCGTATCCTATATAGGGATGACTGGTGCGCTCACAGCACTCACTGGCTGAGCGCAGTGCAGCCGGTCTCAAAAAGGACAAAAAAAAAATAAAAATCACTTAACATAGATCATTTTTTCTCTCTGTTTTATAGTCTTCAAAAATAAAAAAAGGAAGCAAAGGGGATACATCCATGTTGAAACCAACACTGATGGCAGCTGTTCCGGTAAGAATTGACCATTCCTTAGTATTGAGTACTAAAGAAGTATTGTGTGCTACAGAACATTAATGCTAGTGGAAAGGATATTGTTGACAAGGTAGTTTATGAAAGATTTATTCCTTATTGTTTCCTTACTGGTTATTCATATTGCCTTAAGTTCTACTGGATTTATTCAGTCTTGCTTTAGCATTATTTTTTTCTTATTATTTACTAAACACTCAACTTCGTTTTATCTTCATATATTATCAGCTTTTTCCCATAAATAGCTTCTTGTTAAAATCATTTTCATGATATCTGTTTACCGATTAGTAGAAACCTAAAACTCAGAAGAAGATAGGAGGGGAGGGTTTGAGATTACTTTCTTCTAAGCAGATTGTATAGCTACATCCTGAGTCCTCAGGGAGTCTGGCCTAGACACCAAAAAAAGTGACAGAAGCTAGTGCAGCTTTGAACTATGTGATATACACTGAGCATCCTAATTTAATACAGGATGGAGTGGGGGTCTGGGAATAAGATAACAGAAATGTTATCTTATGGTATGATTTTGCAATGATTTTTTTTTTCTGGCTTCTCCTACTGTGGGCTTTATGTGGCTTTCTGATTTTGTTTGAAAGTATTGGGAATTATTGTCAGATACTCGAGTGCTTACATCAAGCATAATTACATAGTTATTCCAAAGTCAAATATAAATGATTAGTAGTTTTGGAGTTTATTTATGTATAATTATAGTTTCCTAAGTAGTATCCTACTTTAAATTTTTAATTCACTTAAAAATTACCTATAATTTAAAATTGTAGCGGAAAATTTATTTTCACTCATTAAAGTATACTTTATAGTAATGGACCTAGCAAGCAAAATGCAATGCAGACAAGGAAAATTTCCTGGATGCAGCATTAAATGACAAACAACCCCCCCCAAAAAAAACCTGAAAAAAATGCCATGGTCCTTTTGTGAAGAAAGAATGTGGTACACCATATGGTTATAAGATGAAGTTAGGAGATCTTTTAAAACTATTTTGGATAGTTGTTTATTTATTTTGTGTTTAGTTTTTAATTCAGAATAACAGAGCAATTCCAAGAATCAATAATGGTACATTCCTATCCTCAGGCTTTTATTTCTATTTTTACTTGCTACTCATAATGAATATCTAGATATATTTCTGCTATTAAAAATTGTTTTTGCAGAAACCTCATCTTTAAATTAATTGTGTCTCTATTTTAAAAGTTTGATCCTGACAGAATGCATCTTGTACTTAATATTGGTAAACATATTAATTTTATGTTAAGATTTGAATATGTAAGGCAGTTGATAACATTATTGACTATATTAACTCATACATCTAGGAAATCATGGATCGGATATACAAAAATGTCATGATTAAAGTGAATGAAATGAGTAGTTTTCAACGCAATTTGTTTATTCTGGCCTATAATTACAAAATGGAACAGATTTCAAAAGGACGTAGTACCCCACTATGTGACAGGTAAGTAAAGGTTCTCCTCCCGCCCCCCCTTGATAATTTAATCATTTAGTTGACATTTAATAGCTCAGTTGAGATAATTATAAGAAATTTATTTTAAAAAGTCAAAAGGATTGTTTAAAAATCCATCTTGTGTAGGAATGTGAGCTATTAAAAAAAACTACAATATCATTTAAAACATTTTTTCACTTAGATTTTGCTGTATTTAAGAGTGTGCTTATACAGTATTTTCTGTGGGCACTTAGGTGATTTTAATTATTTTGAGAAATAGTTTTTATTTGCTTGTAAATTTGTTGTAATATAAATATAAATGGCAGCTAAATATGATTAAATGTATTATGTTTAAAATGTTAAATGACCAGTTTTATCCCAGACCTTTTATCTTTGTAGCATTGATAAAGTAGATTTATGATTTTATTATAAAAAAAGTTTAGAAGTTAGAAAATGAAAGTATGACATTTAAATTATTTTTTATGGGAATACAAGTATTAATATAGTTTTTAGGTGCTTCATATTATTTAGAACTTTACAGTTTTTTTCGCAGCCTTTTTTTTTAGTGAGATATATAATCTGTTTTGGAAAGTCCGTTAATACTATATTTTTTAAATGGTTGCCATTTAGTCTTCACATTTTTCAAAGTTCTTTTTTTTTTTTAAAGAACCCTCTCCCTTTTTTGATGAAGGTGTAGAAAGCAATATTTTTTATTTTTTTTCTTATGTTTATCTCAGATTTGTTTATTTTTATTATTTTTTTTAAGTTTATGTATTAAAGAACCCTCTCCCTTTTTTGATGAAGGTGTAGAAAGCAATATTTTTTATTTTTTTTTCTTATGTTTATCTCAGATTTGTTTATTTTTATTATTTTTTTTAAGTTTATGTATTAATACTAATTTTTTTACATTCTATGATGATGTTGCTGCGGAGCAGCTGGGAGGGAGAGGGGAAAGGAGAAGGAAATAGAGAGGAGGAGGCGGAGGGAGGAGGCGCAGAGGTGAGGCTGTGGCACCCCCTCATTCTATCAGTGCGGTTTGAGAAACATATCATTTAGAAGTTTGAATTTTTTTTTTTAAATTTCTCAGATAATTTACAATTTTTTTTATCCATAAACAATTTAAAACTTGAACTAATTAAATTTTAAAAATGTCTAGATTGCTGTATACAAATATGTGCACATTTCCAATGAAGTTAAAGCAAAAATTAATTTTCTTTTAATAAATTTTATAAATGTACAATAAGATTGTTTAGTGTTAATATAAAAATGTATATTATACAATGATATATTATTTATAATTAATGATATAAAATTATTGCTCTGGCCATAAGTAAGGGTTTCCATTGCTATACAAAATTAAACCTGACAATTTTAAATTCACATATTACTTGAAAAGTTTTTGAAATGAAATTATATATTCTTTACCTTGTTAAAGTACTAAAAATTAAGATTTAAGTAATGGGTCAAGGGAATCTTCTGCATTGGCTGTGTGACCTTGGATAAGTCATTTAACCTCAAAATCTCAAGTATCAAGATGAGATTAGTCTAAATGATTTAGTTTTAAAATTCTGTGATTTTCTGATTAATTTTTTTATAGCTTTGTTTTTCGGAAAGTTCGAAGCTTGCTAGGTGGAAATATTCGTCTTCTATTGTGTGGCGGTGCTCCACTTTCTGCAACCACGCAGCGATTCATGAATATCTGTTTTTGCTGTCCTGTTGGTCAGGGATATGGACTCACAGAATCTGCTGGGGCTGGGACCATTACAGAAGGTTGGTGTTGTCCATGAAATGGAGTGTCCATCAGAGGCAGGGATACAACTCCAGCATTTTTTTGGTATGGGCTGTTTTCTGCAAATACAAAGGAGAACAGTAGTTAAGATTTTGTGTAGCAGAATAATGGTAAATTCCAGGTACTATGATTATTGATAACAAGATTTAGAATGTATTAGGTGCATCATAGTCAATAATTCATCTAGAGGAGTTTTTCATATTAAACTATGATATGTAATATTAAAAACCACTCAGCATTCTCGAAAAGAATCTTTAGTTTCAAGCAATGGCTGTTTTGTATACATTTTATTTTTTCACATCAGTTATTAAATTTCTTTTTGTGTTGAAAAATGAATGTTTTTGGGGCTGGCCCGGTGGCGCACTGCTACAGTGCGCCGCTTGGGAGCGCAGTGGCACTCCCGCCGAGGGTTCGGATCCCACATACAGACCAGCGGCTCACTGGCTGAGCGAGGTGCGGTCGCAACACCGAGGGTTGTGATCCCGTTGCCGGTCCCGGTCCGGTACAGGCGCAACACTGAGGGTTGCGATCCGTTGCCGGTCACAAAAAAAGACAAAAAGGAAAAAAAAATGTAAACAATATTTCCTTATTGCCTTTACAAAACAAAGCAGCATAAAGGAAATAAGAAGTTCTATTAAAATAGAAGTAATGTTGAATAAAATACAAGAATGAAGAAAATGAGGCAATTATAAGCAAGTGCAGTGTCACTGAGGGACAGGTAAAACAATTTGCAAATCATTCTCACAATTATCACTTTAAAATCATAACAACAACACTGTGAGGTAGGTATTTTCACCATGTCAGACTACAAAACTGAGATTTAGAATGGTCAAACAAATGGTGTGCCGCAAAGCCCCAATTTAAACGGGTCTTTTAAGGGCAGTGCTATTTTCACTATAGAAGAGTTACAGCCAGTCAGCAGGCAAGGCAAAATAGCATACAGTAGAAATTATACTCGAAAGTCCCTTGAAATGCCCATGAAGTACGGAATATTACCATCTTTCAACAGGTACAACATAGCTAGTTTTTCCCCCAGCAATGGAATAGATATTTATTTCTTCAGATGAATGTAGGAAAAGTAAGCTGGCTGCACTTAGTGGTCACATTATACCAAAAAAAAAGTACTGTTCTTTCAAATACTAGACTCACACTTGGTGCAGCCTGATTTGGGGGCCCTGGGCTGCTGTCAATGAAAAAAGACTGGGGGAATAGCAGATTCAAAAGGGCACTGAATCGTTATCCTCATCATAGGGCATGGCTATATGAGTCAAAGGACAGGCAAAATCAGAGATGTTAAAAATTTTCTGTCTTCTGAATGTATAGCTGAGTCAGGTAAACAGGATTGTTCTGTGACTCGACTGTATTACAGTTACATCAAATACCCATTCATTGATTCAGACGTATACTGAATGCTTACTGTCCTGTATGCTAGGAATATAAACGCTAACAAAACACAGTCCTGTCTTCAGTGAGTTTACATTCAATAAAAGCAATAATCAAATTAAGCAGATTTAATTCAATTTGGCAAACTCTTATTAAATGATTATCATTTTGCTAAGTTCTTGAGGAAATTGAGATAAATGTGCAAAGCGCTGGCTTTCAAGGAGCCTATTTAATAAGGAGACAAAACAAAGTACTGCTTTAAGAGTTGAGCAGAAGGAATCAGAGGAGATTGTAAAGAAGTCAACATCTGCGCACTCTCCAGTGCGCCACCGGGCCGGCCCATATCTCATTCTTTATTTCACCGTTTTTCAGTTATGTTCTCTATATTTTAAAGATTTTTAGGAAGCTACTTCAAAATCTTGTTTTGGAAGAAATAAAGAAGGAATTTTAAATACAAATATATTTTTTTCTTCTGAGGATCTTTAATTTCTTAAATTTTTAAGATTAAAATTGGACATGTAATTAATCGGTAACAGTTTCTTTTGTAAATAAAGGTCTTTAAAGTGTTAAATATTAGCCTTTCATTTCTTATATTTGAATGATCTTTGAAGAGGAAACATAATGCAGTCGTAATTCATGATAGTGGGAGGTTATTTTCCCAGATCCTTGAAAGCTAGCAGTCTTAATCTCCAGCCTGGCTCTGAGCTATTATTGTATGAATTTTAAATAGGGTGTGATAACATAAGCTGATGTGAGGGAGACTGTGGAGGTCTCACTGTGAAAGAGTGATACATGAGAGAAGAATGGAGAGGTTATATGTACTGCAAAGCTGTGAGGCCTAAAAAGAAAATGGAATGGGTGTAGAGCATTGTGCCTCAACATCCTTTAAGATAGGGACAACAAAGTCATGAACTGGGCAGCTACTTAAATGAGCAAAGGTGGGCCCTGATGTAAGAAAATGTGTTGGAGAAGGATTCTGGGGGAACTGGAGCGGGCCTGCTCTATCAAACAGAGGCTGTCAGTTGTTGCTGTGTCTGAAATGTGGACTTGTCATTGCTGGAGATTCTGCACTTATATGTAAAAATCTTGATTTTTTTAAAAAAAATGGCAATAACTAATTAAAGTTTAAAAAAAATACCAGTGTGGGCCAAACAACACACCGGTGTAGGCCACATGGCCTGTGGTTCATCAGTTTCCAATTGTTGCTTTTAAGGGTTCTCTGGGGATATCTAATCTTTGGGACAAATCATTTTTAGTAATGTAGAATAATGAAGCAGGTTATTAACTACTGTTCTCAAAAACTTTTTCCCCCCATTTGCATCCTAGTGTGGGACTACAATACTGGCAGAGTGGGAGCACCATTAGTTTGCTGTGAAATCAAATTAAAGAACTGGGAGGAAGGTAATAACCTGTTTTAACTACAGAGCATTAATTTTTATAATATTAAACTTTAAAATTATAATTGTTCTTCATTTCCTTCCTTATCTTATTTTAAAATATAAAACATCCACCAATGCTCATTTTTGTCCTTTATAATGAGTGCATTTATTTTGCTTGTTTCAAAGTTGATTCTTAAGCAAAATAGAAGCTATTATAATTCTGATTACTTTATTATGTAAATGCAAGTAAGAATGATGGCAAAAACTTGAAATTTGCTAAATGAATAATGTCAATAAATTAGGAGTGATTATAACTTGTTTTGTAGAAGCAAAATAATAAAATTTATTCTGTGAAACTGAGGATTTTTACGTTTTTCCCTTTTCTCTTTACTTTGAGGACTCAACCGAGGAATGTCAGAATGAAATTTTCACTATAATTCTATAGAAGTTCTATTGCTTATGCCATTTAAAGTATTAATCACTTCTTTAAAAATTTATTTGATCTTATTAAAATGTACAAATTATCTATGATTTATTGGGATGTATCTTTTCTCAGTCCAAAGTAAAGGAAAAGATTCTAAGGCTTGGATGTCATTTTTTAGCTATCTTTAGCAGAATTGGTGAAAATGTCTAATAAATTTGAGCTTGGAGTCATTCTGAAACAATAAGAATAAACTTCCTAGATATATGGTAATTTTATTATTTATTTAATTTATTTATTTTTAATTGTTGGCCGGCCAGTATAGGGATCAAACCTTGGACCTTGGTGTTACTAGCACCACACTCTAACCTATAGAGCCAACTGGCCAGTCCAGTAATTTGATTTTATATAGTGACTTGTTCTGTTATTAAATCCTCGACTTAATACTTTTATCAGTTTATTAGTGTGATATTTAACTCTACAGAATATTTATGCAATTTACTACCTCTGTAGTGTTTGTAATTATTTTATACAGTAGATGTATGACTTAATACTTTTATCAGTTTATTAGTGTGATATTTAACTCTGCAGAATATTTATGCAATTTACTACCTCTGTAGTGTTTGTAATTATTTTATACAGTAGATGTAGGATGTTCGATTTTAAAGTATAACTTTTTTCTTGGAACAGTAGCTTAAAAGCAAAAATGCTTATGGTTAAGCAACTGAAATTTTGCACCTAGCTTTATATTGATAAACTGTTCATTCATAATGTCTTCCTTGTTTCCTTTGAGAAGCTATAATTGGATTAAAATAATGAAATGTTTCTATTTAGAAACTAATAGTTTCAAATTTTCCTGTGTTGCATATAGGGATAGATAAAATTTTGCACCTAGCTTTATATTGATAAACTGTTCATTCATAATGTCTTCCTTGTTTCCTTTGAGAAGCTATAATTGGATTAAAATAATAAAATGTTTCTATTTAGAAACTAATAGTTTCAAATTTTCCTGTGTTGCATATAGGGATAGATATATTGAATTAGTTCAAAATTATTCTGTGTTTATTAGGTGGATACTTTAATACTGATAAACCACACCCCAGGGGTGAAATTCTTATTGGTGGCCAAAATGTGACGATGGGATACTATAAAAATGAAACAAAAACAAATACTGATTTCTTTGAAGATGAAAACGGACAGAGGTGGCTTTGTACTGGAGATATTGGAGAGTTTGACCCTGATGGTTGTTTAAAGATTATTGGTGAGCCATCTAATGTGGTTTTGAAAGTGACTGTTTTCTTAAATAGTTTTATGTTAGAGGTACTGTGTATTTAGAGATCCTGTTTAATAATGTAAGAATATATCTTTATTTAATGTTGGTATAGTCTGTTTTATAAAAAATTTTAAATAGGGACTGGAATTTGTAAGTCCTGACATATCATGAGGTCTCAAAAATTGTTCCAATAGCAGTAGTTTTTAAAATTACTATTAGATAACTGTTAGTCATTTTTTATTGCTTGTGTAGGGAACACTCATTTTTGTGAAGTTTTTGACATCTAGAGGTTATTGGATGGGGCTTTCTTATCTGAATTGTGTTCTTGCCTTGCTCAAGAGAATGAAAGAGAAAACTGACAGCTTAAATACTGTGACCCATGTGGGGCAGAAAATATCTTCTCTTGCTTCTCCTTTTAGGTTCCTTTTTCAGTTAATGGCATTTCTATCATGGCCATGCTAACTAGAAATTCGGAAAAGATGAGAGACTTTTCTTCAGTCAGCTCCCCATACCCATTTCACATCCCATTGATTCATCTTATGAGATATGCCAAGAAATCATACTCTTTTCTTTCTCTGTCCCTCTTGCCATCATCCTTGGTCAGGCTTGCAAGAAATTCCTTTTTGTTGCCATGCTTACCCCCCTTAAACACTCCTTCTCACTGTCACTGTGTGATTACTAAACACTGATCTTACCAGGTAACTTTCTTGCTGAAAACCTTTTAAATAGCTCTTAGAGGCTCAGGCAGGGTGAGTCATCCTCCACCTCCATCTCAGTTGTTTCCCTCTTTCTTCATGCTGCAGTAATTCAAGCTGACCCGTTTCTGGCCTTAGCCAGTGCTGTTGTGCTTGGCTACCTCTCACTCTTCCCTTAAGACTCAGCTCAGGTCTCACTTGCAGGAATTCTTGCTGAATCCACAGATTGGGGAGTCCTAACACTTAGCACTTCCATATTGTATTGAAGTAATATGTTTTTGCATTATGCATATCTCCACATATAGAATGTGAGCTTGCAGATGACATTGAGTATCTTCTTCACCTGCCTGATGTTAAGAGATTCCAGGAACATGCCTGTTCAGTAGAACATACCTGAAGGCCTGTTGAGGGGGTCTCTTAAGAAGAAGTTAATTGTTTTTCTTTTAAACGAATGAATGATGGTACTTCAAAAAGTTCATGGGAAGGTTTGTATTCTCTTCTCATTCTATTTTTCTATGAACTTTTTGAAGTACCCTCATATTTAATAGCACAAAAATAAGGGCCTAATTTACTTTTAATTTTAGCATAACCATTAATGCTTATGCTTATTTAATGGCATTTTAAATAATTTGATAGCAAATTATTTAGGGAATGACCAGTATTTATATGTATTAAAGGTTTTGTTAATATTGTTTCCCTCAATTTTTTCCACTCCCCACCTTTGTTGATTTTGCACAGATCGTAAAAAGGACCTTGTAAAACTGCAGGCAGGAGAATATGTTTCTCTTGGGAAAGTAGAGGCAGCTTTGAAGAATCTTCCACTAATAGATAACATTTGTGCATATGCAAACAGGTAAGAAAGTGGAATTCATGCTATTTTTTACTTAAAACATTTGGTGTGCTGTAGGCATTTCCTACATATATGGGTCTTTGTGAAATTATCCCAAGAACTCTTCCTTCTTATCTGTTATCTCGAAACAGCCCCCTTGTCATTACAGCCATTAGTTAATTCTTTCCTTGCAATGCTTCCCCTCATCATCTTCCTCTGTTCCTGTTTTCTGCTTTACATCTCACTGTAGTGTCCTATGTGGTAGGGAGGTGAAGAGAGTAAAATCTTCCTTCCTGCTGTTTTGGTACCCCTAGCTACCTGTCCTTCTGCACAGGAAAGTTTCACAGGAACCATTTAAGAGGAAAGGGGAGTAAAGAAGTGTCAGCAAGCAGTGTGCTGTTCAGTGCTTGTATCCCTTCTCTAAACCTGAGCTTACTTGAGACTCTGGGTGGGGCCATGGCTTCCCACCATAAGCTATGTTAAGCTATGGCTTAACACATAGCATCCCAAGTCCATGATGATAAAGAGACAGATGGGAAGGAGAGTTTAAAGTTAAAATCCCAGAAATGCATTCTTGGGACACATTTTGGAATTTCAGATTGGATTGGAACTCTGATTACATTTCTCCTTAATGGTATTGCACATGGTAATTATTCTTAGATGTTAATTTTTAATCAGACATTTTGTGGGTAAACTAGAGACCGATCTATAGCAGTTGACATAATTATTATGGGAAAATAAAATCTGGTATTAGGAAAAACCAATTTAGGAACAGGCTTTGGTGGTACAGTCTAAGTTAAAGACGAACTACATTGATTTATAAATGATTCTGCTCTTCAGTTAACCATTGAGTATTTTCTTTAGTGATGGTACAGTTCTGGATTTTACTTACGTGATATTAACCAGAACTATCCTTGCCTATCTGATGCTGCTGCCATTTCTTCTGGTTACTATTTTATGGTTTTCAGAAAAGTATCTGCCTTCATCACGCATACTCAGAGTTCGTCTGTCAACAGAAATTCTCATGATAACAAAAGAAAAAATGAATATAATCACATTATTTTGATTTGCTGCTCAATTTCTTTTGATATAGTTCCTAATTTACATTAAAGTTTATTTTGTTTAACCTGTTGCCATGAATTACTGATTTTTTTTAAAGATTAATTTTCTAATATTTATAATTATCTTTTAGAAAATGTGACATAGTACTATTCATAATATAGTTAGACATACTTGAAATAGATATAGTTCCTAATTTACATTAAAGTTTATTTTGTTTAACCTGTTGCCATGAATTACTGATTTTTTTTAAAGATTAATTTTCTAATATTTGTAATTATCTTTTAGAAAATGTGACATAGTACTATTCATAATATAGTTAGACATACTTGAAATAAACTCACATTGAGGTTTATTTAACAATGAACTCTGCCAAAACATTGGAATTTATTATAAATCAAACAGTAAAAACTGGCTGTTGTATGAAATAAATATGCCAGTACCAAGTATGGCTCATGCTTTTTTTTTAAAATAGTGAAGAATTAATAATTATTAAATGTCAGTATAATCAGTAACTGCAGTTAACACAGTATACCACGTTGTTCCTTAGCTAAGTTATCCTTTATATATTTCAGTTATCATTCTTATGTCATTGGATTTGTTGTGCCAAATCAAAAGGAACTAACAGAACTTGCTCGAAAGAAAGGACTTAAAGGGACTTGGGAGGAGCTATGTAACAGTAGTGAAATGGAAAACGAGGTACTTAAAGTGCTTTCTGAAGCTGCTATTTCAGGTGAGTGTTGTTTTAAACTGATTTTGAGAGTTGAGATGGTTTATATCCATATAACCTGTTATTTTGTAAGGTTTCAGGTACATCATTTTCTGCTCAGAAACCATTTCTACCATCAGTACATGGAAAAATACACTTATCATTCTCCCCTCATTCAAGTCCTTCTACAGGACACACAAATCATCCACTGCCACCAGACTGAAGTACATGTAACCTGAATGTTCATCTTTGCAGCCTTTGTTTTCTTGGTTGGCCCTTTTCTCTGCTGATCTCGGGTGTTCTTTGAGGCTTTGCTCAGTTTCCTGGCCACACTAGCCCACAGTGAATGGTCCAAAACTTTTTTTGGAACTTTGTGCAATGTTAGTGTACTGTGTTCTTTGAGGCTTTGCTCAGTTTCCTACACTAGCCCACAGTGAATGGTCCAAAACTTTTTTTGGAACTTTGTGCAATGTTAGTGTACTGGTAGTTGGTTGTGCTAATGTGTCCTATCCTTTTTTTTTTCTCTTGGTCCTAGACTAGTTTAATATTGTTGGTCTAATAAAAACAGCTGTTTTTTGAGTTATCGGCATTAAGTATAATATAGGCATGAATTTTTATTCTACTTGTTTATGTTAAATATGATTATGAAAAATATAAATTTGCATTCAACCAAATGGGAACATTTTTCTGGTCCTTTATTTCAGCACTAATTATGTGTTGTAGTATGTCAGCTTGAAGATGGTTTCGGACATTTTTAGGTAATTTAAAACCTTGGACTGATAAAACCTTAGACTGATACTAAATTGATTAAACTAACAGATATTCATGAGGAACCTACAAAATTTCCATGTAAGGCAGAATTCTGAAATATTAATAGCTAAGCATAATTTTAGGTTTATATACTTCTTCTTTTATTTATATATATTTTTAACAGCTTTATTGAAATATAATTAATGTACCATACAACTCACCCATTTGATTTGTACAGTTAAATAATTTTTAGTATATTCACCAAATTGTACAACCATCAATACAGTCAGTTTTATAACATTATCCTCAAACCACAAAGAAACCCCATACTCATCAGCAGTTATTCCATATTATCCCCCAAACCCCCTAGCCCTCAGTAACCACTAATTACTTTTTGTCTCTATTGATTTTCCCATTCTGGAGATTTCGCATTAGTGTAATCAAACACTATATGGCCTTTTATGTCAGGTTTTTTTCACTTAGCCTAATGTTTCAAAGTTTATCTATGTTGTAGCATGTGTTAATACTTCATTCCTTTTTATTGCCATATATATTATATGGATATATGCCACATTTTATAAATACTAAAAATTTTAACTATGAATTTTTAATGCCTTTGCATTTTATTTTTTTCATCATCTCAGCAAGTCTGGAAAAGTTTGAAATTCCAGTAAAAATTCGTTTGAGCCCTGAACCGTGGACCCCTGAAACTGGTCTGGTGACAGATGCCTTCAAGCTGAAACGCAAAGAGCTTAAAACACATTACCAGGCGGACATTGAGCGAATGTATGGAAGAAAATAATTATTCTCTTCAGTTTGCTACAGTGAGCTCAGATCAAATAGGAAAATACTTGAAATGCATGTCTCAAACTGTGAGGCAAACTTTATTCTTCATATTAAACCTAAACTGTTCTCATGACATCACCAGTTTTAACTGACAGGATTAGTAAAATATTAAGACAGAAAACTTGAGTCTGTCTCTTTCTTTTTCCCCTCTTCCAGTTTACTTTACCATCTATGACTGTACTTGTCAGTATGAAAATTTTTCTGAATCATATTGGGGAAGCAGTGATTTTAAAACCTCAAGTTTTTAAACATGATTTATATGTTCTGTATAATGTTCAGTTTGTAACTTTTTAAAGTTTGGATGTATAGAGGGATAAATAGGAAATATAAGAATTGGTTATTTGGGGGGCTTTTTTACTTAATTGTATTTAAAAATACAAGGGTATTAATGTGAAATTGTGTAAATTTCAAATGCTTATGAATCAAATCATTGTTGAACAAGAGATTTGTTGCTGTGTAATTATTGTCTTGTATGCATTTGAGAGAAATAAATATACCTATACTTATGTTCTAAGAAACTGAGATCTTGTGAATGCCTGACGGTGTCTTCTTTATATATTTATTTTTTATTAGAAAAAAAAAGTGAAGTTTGGTTGGTGCTGCATGAAACAAAATGGCAGGGGAGGGTTTTCATTTCATAGTAAAGGGAATAACAGAGCAAGTGTAGCAGTATGACAATTAGTCTCTAGTAGTTTACTATCAAAATATTTGGTGTCTTCTATTTAGCTGTTGAAACTAGAAAAATAGCCAAACTTAAATAAAAGCAATTCTGAAAGACAGGGTAGAATTTAAAAATCAGAGGATAGAAAGCTATTCTTTATTTCATTTAGCATATGTACATTGAGTTGTCTTTATTTATGATCTTTGTTTATGTGTTTAAGCCCTAACATGTTACATATACAAATTGTGGTATAGATGGGTAGACAGAAAGACACATGAACAGATGGACACTTAGATGTTTAAAACATAAGTATCCTGGTGGAAAGAACTTGATGTAGGTCTTTGTATCTCCACAGTAACAAGCACAGGCTTCAGCTATGGTAGGGGTGTAAAAGCTTGATGGCCAAAAGTAGGATTTTTTTTTTTTTTTTGGATAGTTTGTAGTGTGTGTGTGTGTGTTTGTGAGAGAGACAGAGAAAGAGAGACAGACAGACAGAGTGGTGGTAGCATATTTAAAACTTATTTTTTCTTCCTACCATAATCTTCCTATACTAGAAAATAAAACAATTTAGAATGTTTCTGATAATAGTATTTTCACTAAGATATGTGAGAATTTAGCTTTATAATGGGGTGAGTTAAGATTTAATTTGTAGGTATTAATGTCATCGTAGGAATTATTTGTGATTCAAAAAATATTGCTTCTATGATACATAGTAAGTCGTCTTATATGTATTACTTGTCTCTTATTTCAGGATTATCAAGAGTAATATTGTACCAGTTAAGATGTGCTGAAATCAGGACTTAAAAAATCACATGCACCACATTCTTCATGTCAGACTTATTTTATTTTCAGTTACTGTAGACATCTCAAGGCAAAGAAATAAATATATGAAAACAGATCTGTGTAAGATAGTGGGAGAGTTGAGAGGATCAGGATGGTGCAGTTTTTGGTCACATCACAAACATTTGGAGACATTGCAATATGGTGTTTTGTTTTCAATTTTTTTTTGTATTGTATATTTGTATTATGCTTTGAATGCTTTTCTCTTTTGTCATAGTTTAAATTTTAATAATGTTTGGGGAAATTGCCAAAAAGAAAAAATATGAAAGAAAGTAAATGGAACTTCTCTATATCAGGGTGCTTTGATCTGAAAATTGAATCAGGACGGGTGGAGAGAAAGAAAGAGAGACAGACAGACAGAGTGGTGGTAGCTTATTTAAAACTTATTTTTTCTTCCTACCATAATCTTCCTACACTAGAAAATAAAACAATTTAGAATGTTTCTGATAATAGTATTTTCACTAAGATATGTGAGAATTTAGCTTTATAATGGGGTGAGTTAAGATTTAATTTGTAGGTATTAATGTCATCGTAGGAATTATTTGTGATTCAAAAAATATTGCTTCTATGATACATAGTAAGTCGTCTTATATGTATTACTTGTCTCTTATTTCAGGATTATCAAGAGTAATATTGTACCAGTTAAGATGTGCTGAAATCAGGACTTAAAAAATCACATGCACCACATTCTTCATGTCAGACTTATTTTATTTTCAGTTACTGTAGACATCTCAAGGCAAAGAAATAAATATATGAAAACAGATCTGTGTAAGATAGTGGGAGAGTTGAGAGGATCAGGATGGTGCAGTTTTTGGTCACATCACAAACATTTGGAGACATTGCAATATGGTGTTTTGTTTTCAATTTTTTTTTGTATTGTATATTTGTATTATGCTTTGAATGCTTTTCTCTTTTGTCATAGTTTAAATTTTAATAATGTTTGGGGAAATTGCCAAAAAGAAAAAATATGAAAGAAAGTAAATGGAACTTCTCTATATCAGGGTGCTTTGATCTGAAAATTGAATCAGGACGGGTGGAGAGAATTCGTTTCTGATGCTTTGTCTTTAATTTTATTTCAGATAATTAAAAAAAGAGGAGGTATTTAGAGAAAAAAGCTTTAATGCTTCAAAGAAGAGATACCAGTAATTGTAACTTGAAATAGTGTCAGATGAATAAATAGCTTATCACTGAATAAAAGTTGATTCTTTTCAGAAACATCCAGTAAGGGTGATTTATCTAGTTCCATTTGTTTTCTACTATAATTAACGTTCCTAATTCCTAAAATGTCAGATGCCAGGTGTCGAATGCCACAGGAGAGCATGAAATTAAATAAGTAGAATCCCCTTTCAAACAAATTACTCTCTAATCGAAACAAAATCTTTAGTGACTTGAAATATCCTTTTATATTACCCTTTCAAGAAGAAAATAATTGGCCAATCAAAAAACCAAAACCTAACAAATTTATTACATAAATACTGGTTTAACTAGAAGATAATTGGGGAAGAAAACTAAGGAATCAGTGTAGATTGCTAAATCTAATATGCATATCTGAAAATAGAATATAGATCCTAAAGGGATGGTTCCTAATAACTATTGTTTTTTGATAACAAGCTATATGAAGAACTCTTAAACATTTCATGTTACAATAAGCTTAGCACTTTATAGCACATAGACTGGTGGCCACCTCTATTCCTTTCTCCATCTTTTTCTCCCCCTCGTTGGTTTTTACTTTTTTTAGCTGAAGCTTCATTAAAACGTTTTTACTCACAACAGAACAAAACAAAATACCACTTTGTTTTTAAGTAGTGGAGTTGATACCCATGGTGTTCTCTGAAACTTACAGTTTTTCCAGCAATGTTTAGAATAGATTAACTTGCACTAACTTTGTTTGCTGCTAAAATGTTTACTTTTTTTAGCTGAAGCTTCATTAAAACGTTTTTACTTACAACAGAACAAAACAAAATACCACTTTGTTTTTAAGTAGTGGAGTTGATACCCATGGTGTTCTCTGAAACTTAACAGTTTTTCCAGCAATGTTTAGAATAGATTAACTTGCACTAACTTTGTTTGCTGCTAAAATTCTGAAGATTTTACAGTTTTTAAACAATTAGTCCTTGTGTTATAACTTCAAAATTTTTTGAAAACTCTAATTTGTGGGTTCCTTTTTGTAAGAAAATTATCTGTCATGTTTTTAATGGTGATCCACTTTTAAACAGTGTACGTATTAGATCACACTGAAATGTAATGCATCCTTTTCTATACTTGCAATTGGTTATTTACTGTGTGTTCATTTCAATGTATTCTTGGTTGTTGCTGTTTTCTGCCTGAAGAACTGTACATCATAGAGAAGCTGCATAGTGGGCTGTTTATTTGTAAATTGACATGACATTTGAAGAATAAAAATACGTAAAAATTAAAGTTTCTGATATTAAAACTCAATATTTCAAAAAAAAGTCCATAAAATTTATACTTTAATTGATATTCCTGAAATATTTGTTGAAAAGGAGTTTGGGGAATTTTCTTTCATAGCTTGCCAACCCATTCGAAGGGAAATTTCTTAACCCACTTTATTTTGTAGCATTCTTGTTTTCTAGCTTTGCTCTAACCCTTCTTGAGCTCTTTTGCTTTCCTCCCTTATGGTTCTGACTGCACAGAAGCTATGCTGTCAGCATTTTAATGTCAGTGCTGATAAAATGTGTTCTATGCTTATAATATTCACATAGCAAGAAATCTTGAATAGAGATGGTAAATTAAATTTTGGCATTGAACTTTGTGGGATAGAAGCAATGTGGCAGCAATGCAATACCTAAATTTTGTGCTAACATTTAATCCTGTGATTGTGGGAGGAATCATTTTATCATGCTATGATATCTCAGAAACTAATTCCTCCCTGCCTTCCATTGTTAGTCAAGATTTGTTTCTGGCAAAACTGGGCATATGTAACTTTATATTAACACTTTTATAGAAGTATGTTTGTAAGCCTGTAACTAACAGAACCAGTCAAGGTATTTTTACATAAGCATCTGGCAGCTTCAATGTGCTTTTGCTTGTTTGTTTTTGAATCAACTTAGAAATGAGGCACAACCATCTGTTTCTGTATTAACTTTGCTTAAATTATTCTTTAAAACATTCGTAGCTTGATTTTTCTACCACACCAAATACATATATGATTTTAGGATGAGGTATGTCTATGTAGTCATGGGAAGATTCTTATGACATACCATATAAGAATAGCAGGCTATATAGCCTGATTTAAGTAATAAAGTATGTTATCTTCAATCTGATAAAGAAAAAATCTGATTCCTTTGTAATAGGTCCACATGTAAGCATGTAGGCTGCAAGAGACTGCCCATTTCAAAATCAGTACCAGTGCTTTAACATGGTGCACAGCCCCCAGAGTAGATGTTCAATAAATAACTCTTTTTAAAAAGAGTGAATTGATAGTCATGACATTTGCATATATGTGTCCTTGTTTAATGTTATATGTCTCTTTCTAGCTCAGTTCAGACTTCAAGACACTTTTCAGCAAACCCTTCCCCATTAGTATCTTTATTTAGTGATACCTTTCAATAATGTTGACTTTGGTGGGATTCATTCAGAATCAACTTCTCTCATATGGTGATTCCTTTTTAGATTATTTCTCTGTACTTTATGAGGAAAGGTTATTCTCCTGTGTGTTTTTTTGTTATTCTGTAGAAGGGGATCTCAGACTTTAATGCACGGATTACTTTTATAGAAACAGGTTTCTCTTCAGTATGAGTTTTTTGATGCTGGAAGTTTTTCCACATTTAGTGCCTTTACAGGCTTTCTCTCTGGAATGTGTTCTATCATGTTGAGAGAGGGATGAGTTATAGCTGCAGGTTTTCCCAGACTGCCTTCATACAGTTTCTTTCCAGTGTGAGGTCTTTCATGTTTAGTCAAGGGCAAGCTACAAGTGATTTCTCCACATTCACATTTGTTGAGTCTCTCCCGTATAAATTCTTTGCTGTTGGCTAACTGATGCATTATGGCTAATTTGTGA